GTCTGTGCTTTCTTCCCCCTGCTCTGTTTGGAGCCGGAGAAGTCGATCTCCCAGCACAGACCGGAGGCTCCGCCTCCAGGCACGGCCCAGGGTCTCCTCTGTCCGTCTGGACCCTCAGGTGCTTCCAAACACTCGGCACATGTGGTTCCCGTTGACCTACTGATGACGTTCTCCTTCTCTGGGGTCAAAGGTTGTAAAAACAACAAAACTCCTCGACTCACTGCTCGACGTTGCACATTCCGTCTCCTTCCGGGACTCGAAGGAGAATCAAAGACGACGGCCGCGGAGCGTTGCGTGATTCCCACGCTAACAGAGTCCAGAGCTGGCGTTAAACCCCGTCCTCTGACCAGATGTCCTGGTCTTGTCTTCGCCTGGCTCTCAGAACAAAGTGCGAACGCCGTCGTGACTCAGTCTCCTCCAGCTAAGACATGCAAGCTCAGCAATTTTTCAGTTGCTTCCCGCCCTTTGTCTGAGTTCCACTGATCCACAGATTTATGACCGACTACAGACCGACTACAGACCTGACCAAGAACTTTTACCTCCATTCTTTTGATGCCTCCAACGCCGCGCCCTCCGTAGTAGGAGGCGTCGACCGTCGGCCATTTCTTCTTAGGGAAACCATCTTCATCCTCCTGAGAGAGAGGATGAAGAACAAAGAGAACAAAGCTGGAGTCAAGTGTTTGTCAAGTCACTGTAAATCGGGGCTCTCAAACTACTGGCTCGCAGGCCACATGTGGTCCGCGAACCTTCCACAAACGGCCGCAGTAGATGTCACTAATGGTGTAGTTTGGCTGCTGAGTTTTTGGATTTTTTTTTTTCTATTACTAATATTAGAACTAGAAAGACATATTTCTTGAAATTTTAATAATAAAAACTAATAAAATAAAAATGTAGTTTGATTAACATAAATCATTTTAGAAATAAAATTTCAATTAGACTGCAAAAAAAATGTTTTTTGGGGGGGTGCATGCTTGAGTTTGAGACAGCTGTTGTAAATCAACAATGGTCAAAGTGTGAGCTGGACATCCACTAGGGGGCGCCCAAGCGTTTGATAACAAAAGGTAAATAAAGCCAACAAATGAACTCACAGAGTCGTCTTCTATCACAGGAGGAGGAGGCTCGTAAATGACCTGCGAACAAAAACTGTAGTGAGAAACAAATCCAACAGGGGGCGTGTCCCAGTCAGAATCCGGACTCTGCCCGCGGCGGCGACCTAATCCTTTAACCAATCCTCTGCCCACGGCGGCGACCTAATCCTTTAACCAATCAGTTTAACGACAGACACCGCAATTGGCCGCAAGAACCAGAAATATTCATACGACGGTTAAAAGAAACTTTGTCCCACATGTTGGACTCCACCTAGTGGACATTAGCCTTCACAGCAGAAGTAGACTGTGTTTGTGGGCTGAATATGGAAGAGGCGAATTGGGTCACATCTCGTTGTGGACGTTTTTTAACTGAAGCCGTAGAGGCCGAACCCTGGACTGGGACACGTTCGTGTTGATGTTAGCTAAGATTCAAAGATGGCCGCCGTACCACGGTGCAACACAGAGGCCAGAACCACCAGAGCAGAATGATGGCGAGCAGCAGCAGCAGGATGAGCAGCGCCACGGCCACAAACGTCCCGTCGGACTGGAACCAGAGGTCAAAGTTCAACCCAGTGGTAGAAGATGACGTCGGTGTAGTACTGGTACCAGGTGTACGTGATACTCACACAGGTGATGGCAGTTATCGTGACTGAGCTGGATATGAAGCTCAGGCCGTTGTTCAGGCTGACGTGGAGAGTCGCCGACCTGCAGGACGTGGAAGAGAACAGCAGCCATTTAAGACTGAAGACTTTTTTTTTTTTACTACAAAAACAAATGTGGATTTTTGGATTACAAGACACCAGAGGTCTACATCAAGTCTACAACCCCCTAGGGTGGTTGTTGGGGTACTGCAGGGGGGTATCAAGAATTTTTGTTTTTTTCAATTTTTTTATACAGAAAATTTTGTCCTCGATTTAGAAATGCACTTTAAAAATTTAGTGGTGGGCCAGATTGGATGGTCCGGCTGGCCATATTTGGCCCGCGGGCCACCAGTTGGCAATCACTGCTCATGTCATGTAAAATGTATTTGAACGTAAAACAAAACGAAAATGATAAAACCACAGGGATGTCGGATCATAATGAGGACTGGACTGGACTGGACTGGACTGGGCCGAACCGTACTGGACTGTACTGGACTGGACTGGACTGGACTGGACTGGGCCGAACCGTACTGGACTGTACTGGACTGGACCGAACCGTTCTGGACTGTACTGGACTGGACTGTACTGTACTGTGGGTTTCTGTTGTACGTCATTAAAGACGTCCATCGGCCGTCGGTGAAGGGCTGTTGACGTTAACAGGTCCTAAGACGCTCGATCTTCTTTTCCCAGAATACCTTTAGCCTCGAAGTCTGAACACGAGGATGAAAAACCAGAACTGATCCTCGGTTCAGATCGTTCCTCAAGGCCACGCATTTTTTCCATTAAACCCAGATTATTATGTGGACTTTCACGGCACGAATCCGTCTGACCTTCTTGGGTTTTTCTTTTTTTCTTTTTTTTTCTCAGCATCTGCAGTTTATTTCCAGAATAACAAAGAACAAACGTCTCAAAAGGACTTGAAAACGTCCTGAGAACCGATTCTGGATTCAGCATTCAACAAAAATAAAAAGTCTTCTCCTCCGACCTCTGCTCGACTGTGATTATCAGCCAGTAACGTCTGACAAAATACACACCAACGCATTCACTGTCGTGAGAATAGGTTTTCCATCGTAGCCAAAGATGAAAAAAATCATCCTGGGTTACTTACGTTCCCTCTCTTTTCTTACTTACGTTCCCTCTTTTTTCTTTCTTACATTTTTTCTTTTTTTTTTTTTTTTTTTCTTTTTTTTTTTTTCTTTTTTTTTTTCCCTCTTTTTTCTTACTTACGTTCCTTCTTTTTTCTTACTTACATTTTGTCTTTTTTCTTATTTATATTCCCTCTTTTTTCTTACTTACGTTCCCTCTTTTTTCTTACTTACGTTCCCTCTTTTTTCTTACTTACGTTCCCTCTCTTTTCTTACTTACGTTCCCTCTCTTTTCTTACTTACGTTCACTCTTTTTTCTTACTTACGTTCCCTCATTTTTCTTACTTACGTTCCCTCTCTTTTCTTACTTACGTTCCCTGATTTTTCTTACTTACGTTCCCTCATTTTTCTTACTTACGTTCCCTCTTTTTTCTTACTCAGTTCCCTCTCTTTTCTTACTTACGTTCCCTCTCTTTTCTTACTTACGTTCCCTGATTTTTCTTACTTACGTTCCCTCATTTTTCTTACTTACGTTCCCTCTCTTTTCTTACTTACGTTCACTCTTTTTTCTTACTTACGTTCCCTCATTTTTCTTACTTACATTCCCTCTTTTTTTCTTACGTTTCATCTTTTTTCTTACTTATTTTCTCTATTTTTTCTTCCTTACAATTTGTCTCTTTTCTTACTTACGTTCCCTCATTTTTCTTACTTACGTTCCCTCTTTTTTTTTTACGTTTCATCTTTTTTCTTCCTTACGTTTCGTCTCTTTTCTTACTTACATTTCGTCTTTTTTCGTACTTACGTTCCTTCTTTTTCCAGAACAGGAGCCGGACACAGGAGATAGGTGTCTCTCACCGCCAGAGGCCGTTTCACTGTGGATACATTTGACATTTGACATCGTTAATTAAGGTGTAAATGACAGGTTAGGTCAGGGGTGTCAAACATATGGCCCGTGGGCCAAAACCGGCTCACCGGGGGGTTTCATCTGGCCCATTTGGTGAATTTTTAAATTTTGCATGCTTTAAAAAAATGACTACATGTTTGTGACGTTTTGTTAATTAATTATATAATTAATTTTAATTACTAATAATTACTTAAGGTAATTATGTTATGCTTGTACTGGTCCGGCCCACTTGCCTTCATAATTAGGCCGTATGAAGCGCCTTAACCAGAATGAGTTTGACACCCGTGGATTAGCTCATCGTTAGTGAAGGGTTAAAGTCGACTTCTTCTACCAGCTCAGAAACTTCATGGAATTCAATTAAAAAAAAAATAAAAAAACCCACCACCAGGATTTGGGGTCAGTGGAAAATGAGGCAGAGGAATATTTCTCTGTGGTTTTATTGTGTAATATTTCTGAGTGCAAAGACAGGACTCATCTCTGATGAGATCCACATTCTTCTCCGTTCATCTGAGCTGAGCTTTATACCAGCTGGGGACGACGGGGAGGAGGAGGTGGGGGGGGGGCGATAGGGCTATTAAATCACTGTGAGCCACAATGTGGCGCTTCAACGCCCGCCCTTTCCCCCAGTCCCCTGTTTGTCTGGCCAAAATAAACGTGGTTTAATGATATAAATAGCTGCTGAAAGACACATCAAAACTCCTGCTGCTTTCTCTCTCTCTCTCTCTCTCTCGTACTCCAGGCTAATGCTAAGGCTAATGCTGTTGAGGTTTTTTTTTTTTTAAATGCGAATTCGCACCTACAGCTGACCAGCATACAGATGTAGCAACTCCTGAAAAAAGTTGAAAAAAAAATTTTCAAAAAAGAATTTTTCAAAAATTTTCTTTTCAAAAAACCTTTTACAAAAAAAAAATTTTTCAAAACAAATTTTTTCAAGAAACGTTTTTCAAAATGTTTCAAAAACTGACCAGTATTGAATGACCAAAGAATGGACAGACTCAGGAATGAGGTCATTAGAGGGACAACACAGACAGGAAGGTTTGGAGAAAAAGACAGAGAAGCCAGATTGAGATGGTTTGGACATGTGCAGAGGAGGGACAGTGGATACATTGGTAGAAGAATGTTAGAGCTACGAGGTAGGAGACAAAGAGGAGATTCATGGATGCAGTGAGGGAGGAAATGCAGATGGTTGGAGTCAGAGTAGAAGTTGCAGAGAACAAGGCAATATGGACCACAAATTTTAAAAAAAAAAAATTTAAACAAAAAAAATTTTTCAAAAAACTTTTCAAAAACATTTTTCAAAAAAATTTTCAAAAAAATTTTCAAAAAATATTTTGAAATATGAAAACATTTTTTTTCAAAGATTTTAACCAACATTTTTCAAAAACTTTTGAATGACCAAAGAATGGACAGAATCAGGAATGAGGTCATAGAAGAATGTTACAGATGGAGCAATCATTTGCTGTAGCAACTACTGAAAAAAAAGGGACAAAGCCGAAAAAAAAGAAGAAGGTAGAAATTTGTTGGGGTTTTTTTTGTCATAATTTAAGATTATTTTGATGAAACATTTCATTTTAAAGGTGCAGTTTGTAAAACTTTAGATGAAATTAAATTATTTTTATTCTTGAATTATTGATTGTTTGTGCTGGTTGATGATTATATTGTTGGTGTCAGGAGTTTATAAAAAAGGTTATAAATATTTTGAAACTAAAATACATGAGTCAACAAATACCAGTGTGTTTATTTATAAGTGAGGGGACGGCTAGCATGTGTTTTCTCTCAACGCTTGGACAAAAGACAAAAAAAAGAAAAAAAGAAAGAGATAAGAACAGACAGTAGAAGGACGAGAGGAGGAAGAGGAGACAGAGAAAAGAGCGAAGAAGATGATGAAGAGGAAGGAGAAGAGTCGGAGGAAGGAGGAGAGAAGGCATAAAAAGGAAATAGGAGGAAAAAGAAGAAAAAGGAGGAGGAGGAGGAGGAGGAGGAAGAGGAGGAGTCTCCTTCATTCCTCCTGAAATCACTCACTTATCGTCACCGTGTCGTTGATGCGGAAGCTGCACAGAACCTTCTGTTCATCTCTGGCGTGGAGGAAACCGTTTCCTTTGACCACGACCTGGAAAGACTCTGAAGAGAACAGTGACGTCAGAGGAGTCCACTGGTCCACCGGTCCGTGGTCCGCGGTCCCGTGACCGGGATCTGCCCCACATTTTGACTCCCTGGTTGGTTTTTACCTCCTTCGCAGATACTGGACGGTTCTACGGCCAGGATCTCGATGCAGGATCTCTTCAGGATCTGTGGAGAACGCAGAGTTCAGTCACTCCACTGGTACTGGTGTTTGTAGTACACGGTACGTGGTGTGTCACTGGTACCGAGTCGATGATGCCCTGCAGGGCCTCGAACCCATCGTTGACGGGGAAGACGTGATCCTGACTGTCTGCAATGGTTGACAGCTGCGGAGGAGGAAGGAGTCGAGGAAAGGAGGTGACGACAGAGCTACGGAGGAGGAGGCATCAGGGAGGAGTGAAGAGAGGAGGAGGAGGGAGAGAAGGAACCAAGATGGAGGAGAAGGAAAAGGTGCAGGAGTCGATGCTGTCGTACCTGCGTCTCATTGAAGTCCTTCACCCCCACGCAGTAGACCGTGGCCCCCAGCTGGCGGGCTCTGCTGGCCTACAGTGGTATCACAGAGCGACAGTTTGAAAAAGATCATTTTTGTAAGAGTCCAGAACGTTCCTCTCACCTCCCTCTGGGCCAGGTCGAACTGGTTCTCCCTCAGCTCCCCGTCCGTCAGGCCGATGATGACGCTCGCTGTTCGAAAACCTGGACGTCAGAGAAGAAGGAGAAGATTTTTCCACTGAGCTAAAGAGGATTTGGACGGTTCTCCAGCCTGGTTCCTCAGTCGGTTCCGATGAACGGATCAAACAGTTCCCACTCACCGTGTCCAGTGCCGTAGTAGATCTGCTCGCTGGCCTTAAAGAGGAGAGACGTTTGAGAAAATCAAACTTCGGCTTCATCCGGTCTGTACGATATGTAACATATATTTACGTGACCAATATTAACTTTTTGCTAATATCCGATATCGTCCAAACACTTAATTTCCGATTCCGATATCAACCGATACCAGTATAGCGGGGCAGTGGTGGACAGTGTTTTTCGAATGCTCAGGTGCTAAGGTGATGGGTTAAAACAGTGTTTTTCAATATTTTTCCGCCATGCGCCACCTAGAGGACAGAATTAAACAGTGTTTTTCAATATTTTTCCACCATGCGCCACCTAGAGGACAGAATTAAAATACTATTGAGCGCCTGTAAATATTGATTTGTTTTTCTGTTCAAACCACTGTATGAGTTCCCGTCACCTCCATACAATCCACTGATGATTAAAGGAGATCAATAAAATGAGCTGCAATGCTGCCCTCTAGTGACTAGAGGCTTGTCTGTCGTTCATAATGTTCTGTGTTCATGCGTTATGAAGGAGTTTTCCTCCTCACTCCCTCTCCCGTACCCGTGAATGTTAACTCCTTCCTAACACGTGAGCGATAAACACGCCTCCAGTCACTAGGTGGCAGCAACTCATACAGTGGTTTGTAGGTATAAATTAATAAATATTACCAGGCACTCAGTAGTATTTTAATTTGGGGGAGGAATGTGGAAGTAAAAAAACTTCTGTCCCCTAGGGGGAGCATGGTAAAAAATATTTGAGAAACACCTTAGTGAGCAGGCTGCACTTCACTTCCATAACCACCAGGGCACCACTGCCCCGCTATATGGGTATCGGTTGATATCAATCGGAAATCAAGTGTTTGGACGATATTAAAAAATATTTGAGAAACACCTTAGTGAGCAGGCTGCACTTCACTTCCTTAACCACCAGGGCACCACTGCCACACTATATGGGTATCGGTTGATATCAGAATCGGAAATCAAGTGTTTGGACGATATCGGCGTATCGTCAAAAAGTTAATATCGGACGCCCCTCGATATAATTATTTTGCCTGTGGATCGGAGCGACTCTTACTCTCTGGAAACCCTTGTCCATGAAGGTGTCTCCTCCGGGCTGCACCATCCGCAGCTCCTCCAGTCCCGATCGAATCCTCTCTCTGAATCATCAGCCAAAAACAAAAGTCGTTTTATTTTTACCGCTAATAAAAACGATGTAGACACACGTGTTGGAGGCGGTGTCGGCGCCACCTGTCTTCTGTTAATGGCATCAGAGTCCGTCCCTCTGTGGAAAAGACGATGAAAGACATCCGCAGCTGAGGACTGGAGAAAACAGAAGACAGGTGTTAGGACCAGACGTCCGTCCGTCCGTCCCCCCCCCGGTCCACGTGCCTCTGTTTGGACCCACCTGATGAACTTGTGAGCCAAGTGGTCGACAAAGTAGTAAATCTCGTTCCAGTAGTTTTGGACGCTGCCAGACCTGACGAGCAGATGGAGAAAAGAGGACGGATTTACAGGGAAAAAAACAGAAAATCAAAAATGACCAAAAATAAGAATGATTGTATTTTTTAAGTCACAGTAAACTTAGTGAAATATATTATAAATATAAATAAATACTTAAAAAAAATCATATAAAAATAAAGATATCTGCAGCTGTCAGTAAATTATAACAGGCTGGAACCGAACGGAACCGAACAGAACTCGTCCTCCTCCACATTCATTAAACTGTCACATAAAAAAATAAATTATATCCAGTTTAAAAGTCTGAAGTTTGAAGATGTCACTGTTTTTCACAGGATTTTCAGGATTGAAACCAACAAAGACTGAACCAGAACCAGAGGAACCGACCAGGACCTCAAGGAACAAACTGAACCAGAACCAGAGGAACCGACCTGGACCAGGACCAGGAACAGGACCAGGAACCGATTCTTTTCACCTTGAAGTCAAAGGAAAAACCTGTCCATTTTCAACAACTGTGGTTCACACTGACACTCTGCTCTGCTCCTCCACCTCTCCTCAGAACGTCTCCTTCATGTGTTCTTGTCAACTCCGTCTCATCTCTTCACGAGAACCAAAGGTGGTGCAGCAGGAACTCCTCCTCCTCCTCCTCCTCCTCTTCCTCCTCTTCCCTCGTTCTTCTTCTTCCTCTCCTTCGTTCTCAGTCCGTGTGCAGACGAGGCCAAGAAAATAAAATCTGAATCTCTGGAACATCTGGCTCTGATGGAGAAAGGGTTCTGCAGACTGGAGCAGCGGGGCGTGTGTGTGTCTGTGTGTGTGTGTGTGTGTGTGGCTGCAGTGAAGACAAACACAGTTCCCTGTGGAGTGTTTCATCACATACACACACAGACACACACACACACTCTCATTTTCATGATTGCCGTGCGTGTGTTTGCAGCGTTGAAGCGACCCAGCTGCAGTGAAGTGATCACACCGTCAGCCTGACTCGGAGTCGACCTCCTCCACAGCCCTGACACATAAACAAACCCTGGTTCAGGTCACCGTTTGTCCAGCCAATCAGGAGAGGTACCTGGCAACAGTTCCACTGCGTCGGTCCATCGGCCGCTGCTCTGTCCAGGAAATAGTTCCTTCCACTTTTCTTCTTCTCACAACAACGGCTTTTCTTTTCTGACTCCTCTGAAACTAAACTAAACTAAACTAAACTAAACTAAACTAAACTAAACTAAACTAAACTAAACTAAACTAAACTAAACTAAACCAAACTAAACTAAACTCAGCTCCAGTCTGACCCTGACCTTCACAGTCTGAAGTGAAAACTTTCCTCAACTCTGTGAAAATTCATACGACACAAAAACTCTCACAGAAACGTCCGTCCACCGCACTGACCTCCTGACCCCCATGACCTCTGACCTGGCTTCACTCAACCCTCGCTCATCACTCAGTGACCTCCTCCGCGCCCGGTTTCCCCCGGACCGTCGTCTCAAAGCACTCACTTGTCCAGGACGAAGTAGAGGTCGAAGCCCCCGTAGCAGGACGAGCCGGCGTCCCTCTGGTCACTCATCTGTCCTGCAGCTCCACACGCCAGGATGACCAGCATCAGCGGGACCACCTCCAGACCCAGCAGGACCGGCCCGCTCCGGCCGTGAGACATGGCTCCAGACTGAGGACCCAGAGTCTCAGAGTGGACCTTAGACAGACGTCGTCTCCTGTTGTCGATGTTTCCCTTTCACCACACAGTGGCAGCACCAGCCATCGTCTGTGGACTGATCTCCACCACAGGCATGACGGCTCTCCCCCCTCTCTCTCTCACTCCCTCTCTCTCTCTCTCTCACCCCTCCCTCTCCCTCTCTCTCTCCTTCCCTCCCTCTGGATCAGCGTCCCATCTCCTGAGCTACAGATGTTTGTTGGCAGAGGAGGAGTGAAGCTGAGTCTGCAGCTCCTCTCTCACTCCCCCTCACTCCCCCTCACCCCTCCCCCAGTCCATCATTCCAGCTCGTGCTGCCGTGAGTCTTTGTTACCAAAGCCGACCCCGACCTTCGTGTTTGATTTACTCTTACTTTCATCCCTGTTCATGAATGAACCACAGGCCTTTTTTTGGTTTAGTTTTGTTTTGTTTTTTCAGAAACTTTTCTTCATCTTTGAAGTGTTTTCCCTTTTACTTCTCCACACCTTACCCATCAGCGCCACCCAGTGGTAAACTAGTGCATCATACAGTCGACCAACGTCAACTCTCATTTTTTACTCAAGGGTTCAAATGTGCAACTTTAAAAGATGAAATACTGACATGGTCACGTGTTGTTGTTGTTGTTGTTGTTGTTGTTGTTGTTGTTGTTATTCAGTTGATGCAGTTCATTCATTGGTGGACGGAATCACACGGTACAGTCACCTTCTGTGTTTATATTATTTAATTCACTCAAAGAATGATCTTCAAATGGGGGTAAAAACAAACAGGAGTTTTATGTATGCTGCCCCCTGCTGTTTTAATCTGCAGAGTTTTGTTTTGTTTTTTTCTGGTTAAATACATTTGTTAGATTTTATTAAAGACTAATTCGTTAAAAATTCTATTTAAACCTGGCCTTTGTTTATAGGATCACAAAACCGCGACTTTATTTCTAATTTGAACTCACGACATACAACATTAAAAAACACAGCGATTCCCAACCTCTGTGCCAACATTAAAAAACACAGTGATTCCCAACCTCTGTGCCGTGAGAAATCATCTGATCTAATGTGCAATATTGTCTAATTAAGTGAAATTGGACAATTTTGTAATTATTATTTTGATTGGAAAGCGACAGGCAAAACTTTTCCACCTTTCCACTAGGGGGCAGCAGGTGGCTATAAAAAATAAAAAAAACGTGTAGTTGATTGTGAATAAATGGAACCAGAATATCATTATATTTAGTTAAATATAGTTCTGAATATTTATGTATATGTATATATATTACTGTAAATTAAACTAAACATTTGTTGTTTTTTTTTCTTCTGTCTTTTCTGGTCTGTTTCTTCAGCTCCGTCCACTCTCCTGGTTTTCTGGGTCATCCCTGACGGTTGGCTGCTCTTCCTCCAGCTGCTGCTCGTCTCCATCAGTGACAGTTTCTGTGGGTTCTTCTTGCCAGATTCTTTGTGCTCCGTAGCTGCGGAGATGTTAGCCATTCTGGGTTTCCTGTTTATAAAGTTGGCGCGGGAGCGAGTCATTGAACTCATCACTGGAACTGCTGCTGTCAGTGAATCACTAACGCTAATCTGTTCCTGTAGTTTTACCTTCCAAAGCTAACATTCCATCGATCGATTTGTTTTATTTCAATTGTCACAAATCAAACAAATCAGTATCAGGCTTTAATATCAGTGTTTACTAGTTTTTGATGGAATAGTTTTTAAAGGTTTAATTCTCGTTTTAAATTTTACCTTACGTTGTTTGGATTTAGTTAAACAGTTATTTAACTGCTCTGTCTGACTATAATCGTTAATAACTCAGGCTAAAAGTTAATAATTAGCTATCACAGAAGAGGAGGCTGTTGTTAATTCTCAGATAATTTAAAGTATTGTTAGATTTGTTGTTGATAAAACAAATACGGTCACACAACAACAGATGAGGTTTAGCCACGTTAGCAGTAGCAGGAAAAGAGCTGAAAATTCACCCAAAAAATTGCAAAAAAATTCAAAAGTTTGACTAAAACAAAATAGGACAAACTAGGATTTTTTTCTTTATATTATTATTGTAATGAAGTTTATTTTCATTTATAAGATCAGTGGATCCAGACATTAACAAAATGAAAACCATGATCCTGAAACTGCTCCTCCTACAAAGGTGACACCAGGTGATACCAGGTGATACCAGGTCTTTCTTGGCACAACAGCAGAGTCCGCCTTCGCTGCTCTTCATATGGATGACCCAGTTCATATTAAAAGGAGAAAAGTGACACTTTGGGGTTTGGTTTAATTGAAGGGCAGAGAATGAAACGTGCTGCAGTTCAAATTCTTCTGGTTTAAACTGGATGAACTGAGAAACGTCTGTGGGAAGAACTGAGGCTCAGAGGTTCATTCCTGACATTCACTCTGCTCTCTTTAAAACTACAGTGTGTGAGTGTGAGTGTCTGTTCATCATTTCTGCATTTACAACTGAGGGTTTTTTTTTTCTTGGCATTGACCCAACAACCTTCTGGTGTTGTGTTGTGCCAGGTCCAGAATCAGTTTCTTGTGGCATCATATGGTTGTTTTTGTAAATAAACACACATAGGACAAATCATAAGTAATTTTTTAGGATGAGTTTATAGTGTGTACAACTGTGTGAAATCATCGTGGAGTTGATAATACAAGCATTCAAAGATTAGTTTATTTTTCTTCTGACGCTTTGACCTTTTTTCAGGCTCCTCGATCACAGGACGACTGTGGTTAAAACCTGGACAAATATTAGGACAAACAAACCATTCACGCGTAAATTCACAACTCTGGTCAGTTAAGAGTGAACGATTCATGTGATCCTGCATGTTTGGACAAAAAAAAAAACCCACAGCGCTAACACGAGGACAAAAATAGTAGAAACATGTTGTTGTTTTTTTTGTTGTGTTAAATATTGAAGCTTTATCCATAATCCTTACTTAAGTTTTATATATATATATGTTAATATATATGTTTATATATATATATACACACCATTGTGCAACTACTATATTTCTTCCACGTTTGTTTTTGCCAACCGTCGGCGGGAGTTTAGCAATTCTGCTAGTTGAAGACATTTTCGGTTAGCATCTTAGTTAGCATCTTGGTTAGCTTTTTTTGTCTGTTTGTTTTTACTTTTATTGCTTTAGCCACGTGAAAAAATAAAGATAATAAATAAATAATTAGGTCCGTGATATACGTATAGTTTGTTGGACTATTAAAAAGTGTTTTACGACTTAAAATGTCTACTATCAGAGGTCAACGGACAGGTGCATCTCTCTTCTCCTCTCTGTCTCTCTCTCTCTCTCTCCCTCTTTTCCTCCCTCTCTCTCTCCCCTCTCCTGTGCAGATACCACAGCAGC